GCTAGCATCAACTAGCTAGCCGGTCGTCACGGCAAAGCTACAAGAGCGTCTCTCAGCATGGGCCCGAAAAAAGTTCTGTCAGCCGAGGAAGGAGACGATATTAAGAAGTCGCTGGAGTTTATGACAGAGGAGATTTCTACTGTCAAACTGCAGCAGAAAGCCATCCTGGACCTGGTCGAGGAAGTTAAGGCTCTCCGCATCCAGAACCCGAGAAGGATCGGCGGCTGGCGTACTGGAGAACAGAGTGGCGGATTTGGAGCAGTACACCGGATGAACGATGTTATCATCACGGGGCTTCGCATCAAACCCGGTCATACGCCGGGCGGTCGCCACTGACAATGTAGGAGGGCCAGGAGAGGAAGATGTCAACTCCACGGAGCATCAAGTGGTTACCTTTCTACGGTCCAAAGGTGTGGAAGTGGATTATAAAACATTGAGGCTTGCCACCCTCTACCCCGAAAAATGACAGTGACAAACCAGCCATCATTGTGAGATTTGCAAACAGAAAACAGAAAACAGCACTGTTAAAACAAGGAAAGAAACTGAAAGGATCCGATGTCTTCATGAACGAACATCTGATAAAAAAGAATGCGGACATTGCCAGGAAAGCACGTTACTTGAAGAAACAGGGAAAAATCAAAATACATGGACCACCAACTGCAAAGTATTCATTAAACTCAATGGAACACCGGAACAAGCCAAAGTGTTGGTCATCAGAAATATGGAAGAGCTGGACAAATACTGAGGTCAACTTACTCTGGAGGTATGAATACACATGTGACGTGACACACAACACAACACATGGCACAGTCCAAAAGAACTTCATCTGCATCCGGCAACAATATCAACATAACTCATTGGAATTCTCTTTATGATAATCTGGAACTGAGAACATTTCGATACACAGACCATAATGTTCTAGACTTAGAAAAGGATATAGACCCGGAAAATAATTTCTACTACAACATCAGCTGTAACTGCTGCTACTTCACTGATGAACAGTTTAAGCACACCATCAACACAGAAAATAAATTATCAATAATCCATTTTAATAGCAGAAGTCTGTATGCCAACTTCAACAATATAAAGGAATATCTAAATGAGTTGACAAATCCATTTGGAATTATTGCCATTTCTGAAACATGGATCAATGCGGAGAAAGGAATGGACTTTGGACTGGAGGGATATGAAGTGAATTTTGTAAATAGAAGGAACAAGAGTGGAGGGGAGTAGCTGTGTATGTGGATAAAAACCTAAACTACAAGGTGGTAGAAAGTATGACAACTGTAATTGATAATTTACTAGAATGTATAACAATTGAAATTTATAAGGAAAAAGAAAAAAATTAATAATTAGCTGTATATATAGAACACCTGGCTCTAGTATTCAAGTATTTAATGACTTCATAGAGGAAATATTCTCTAAAACAAATCAAAAAGTTATGTTTATCTGTGGTGATTTTAATATTGACCTGTTGAATCCAAAAAAGCATAAAATGACGACGAATTCCTAAACACTATGTACAGTTTGAGTTTACATCCTAAAATAACCAGGCCTAGCAGAATTACACCACATTGTGCCACCTTACTTGACAATATTTTCACTAACAATATGGAAAACAACATTGTGGATTATTAATTAATGACATCAGTGATCACCTACCAGTTTTTGCAGTTTATGACACTAATTATAAGAAAAATCAGCATGAAGAACAACTGAGATACAGACGTGTAAGGACGGAAGAAACGATGACTGCATTTAAGAACGATCTATTAAATCAGGACTGGGACAATGTGTACAAAGAAGCTGATATTGATATTGCATATGGCATATTTTTAAGAATATTCATGGAGTTGTACAATAAAAACTGTCCAACAATAAAATACAACAGAAAGCACAATATTCAGATAGACCATGGCTCACTAAGGGTTTACAAAATGCATGTAAAAAGAAAAATACACTCTATAGGGAATACCTAAAACAAAGAACAAAAGATGCTGAAAATAAATATAAAAAATACAAAATAAGTTTGACCAATATTATACGTGTATGTAGAAAGGAGTATTATAGTAAAATATTGAACAACAATAAACATAATATGAAGGAATATGGGGATGTTTTAAACGGTATCATTAAAAATAATTCTGGACAACAAAGTTATCCACAATACTTTATCGATAATGGCAATATTATGAAAACACTGCTGATAAGGTCAACAGCTTTAATCATTATTTGTAAATATTGGACAAAACTGGCAGAACAAATTTCCTGAGTCACTGCCATCAGTAGACTGTATGAAAACCTGATTGATAGGAACCGTAACTCAATGTTCCTCACATCAGTGGAGGAAAAAAGAAATAATTGACATTGTACACATGTGTAAATATAAAACATCTACTGATTGTAATGATATTGACATGAAAATCGTCAAGAAGGTCATTGAAGGAATTGTAGACCTCTAACATATATTTGCAACTTATCATTTCAGACGGGAAACGTGCCAAACAAAATGAAAATAGCTAAAGTTGTGCCGCTGTATAAAACCGGGGATAGACGCCACTTCACAAATTCAGGCCTGTTTCTTTACTACCACAATTCTCCAAAATCCTAGAAAACCTGTTTAATAAACGATTAGACAAATTCTTAGATAAATATAAATTACTCTCTGACAGTCAATATGGATTCAGATCAAAAAGATCAACATCTCTGGCATTAATCGAATCAATTGAGGAGATTACGAATGCTATAGATCAGAAACAGTATGCAGCTGGAGTATTTCTGGATCTCAAGAAAGCATTCGACACAATCAATCATGACATATTAATTAATAAACTGGAACGGTATGGGATTAGGGGGGTTGTACTGCAATGGGTGAAAAATTATTTAAGTGACCGGAAACAATTTGTGAAGCTGGGTGTCCATTCCTCATCATGCTTGGACATTGCTTGTGGTGTTCCACAAGGCTCTGTACTGGGTCCAAAATTATTTATTATTTATATAAATGATATTTGTAAGGGCATCTGATATATTAAAATTAGTATATTTGCAGATGACACAAATATTTTTTGTTCTGGGGGGAATCTAAAGGAGCTGCTGGATACAATTACTTCAGAAATGTGCAAAATTAAAAAATGGTTTAACAGAACAAACTATCGCTAAATCTAAGTAAAACTAAAATTACCTTATTTGGGAATTCCCTTAGAAATGCACAAGTGCAGATTCATGTAGATGGTGTGGAAATTGAAAGAGTACTTGAACATAAGTTTCTTGGTGTGATTATAGATGATAATTAAAACTGGAAGTCTCATATAAATCATATACATAACAAAATTTCAAGAAGTGTCTCAATCTTGAGTAAAGTAAAACACATTCTGGACCACAAATCACTCCACATTCTCTATTGTTCCCTGATTGCACCGTATTTGAATTACTGTGCAGAGGTTTGGGCAATATTACAAATGTTCGCTATCATCAATCTTTATATTACAAAAAAGGGCCATAAGGATAATCCATAAAACTGGTTACAGAGATCATACAAATCCACTATTCTTAAAATCAAAAATTCTAAAATTCACAGATCTGGTTCATTTTCTCACAGCACAAATTATATATAAAGCAATAAATAACCTGCTTCCTGACAATATTCTAAAATGTTTTCTAAAAGGGAACGGGGATACAATTTGAGGGGGGGAATTAAATTTAAAACATCCTCGTATCCGTACAACATTAAAAAGTTTTGCATCTCTGTGTGTGGAGTGAAGCTGTGGAACAGACTAAGTAAAGATATGAAGCAATGTCCAAGCATGGCGCAGTTTAAAAAGCGGTTTAAGGATATGGTTTTTACAGGGTACAGGGAAAAGGTAGAGATTTGATAGGGTGTTCTTGTCTAATATTTTCATGTGTTGCGCATGCACGGGTTTGTTGGTATGGATATATATATATAATTGTAGGCTGTGTATCCTTGAGGTGTTAATGGGTTATTGAAAATGTGTATATGTGCGTATGTGTGTATATACGTATGTATGGATAGATAGAAACATATATGTGTATATATTTTAAAAAAAAAAAAAAAAAAAAATTACACATAAATATAATGTAATTGCAAGGAGGTATTTCTGTAGTCTATTGATACTAGATAGTGGAAAAGGGGTGGGATTAAATAAGCTTATGCTTCTTCCTGCTCCTTTTTGAACATGGACGTTATTTGGAGTTGTGGTTGCTCGTTTTCCTTTTGTTTGCTTGTTCATTGTCTCTTTTAATTCTATTTTTTTTATACTTTTTCAACTTGTTCAAAATAAAGATTCAATCAATCAATCAATCAATCAATCAATCATTGTCTGTTAGTCTGTTGTGCTCAGCTTTGACTGTTGTCTTGATATTAGACTGGTCAATTTTTAGTAAATTACCAGCCAGAAACATCACTGGTGTACACATAAGAGCGAAAATATATATATATATAAGCACAATACGCCTGCCTGGTAACACTTTATAACCTGCTGCATGACTAAGAGTGTAATTCCCCTTTAATTAGATGGAACTTCAATGTATTTTATCTGAAATTACAGTGTAATCATATTTACCTAGCGATACTTAAAGGTAGGCACACTGGAATAAAGGAGGTTAAATTAAAGTATAATTATTTCTTGCTTGCTACCTCTTTATTCTGCTGCAGCTTATTTCAAGTATTTGTAGGTAAATATAGTTACATTGTAATTTAAAATGAATTCCATTGAAATTTCATTTAATTACAGGGGAATTACGCCCTTATTAAAAGTGTTACCGTCCTCTTTAATCAGACAGAGAGGTGCACAATAAGGACGTGTCTGTACATACCTGCGCACGGGTTGGCCAGTTTGCTGCGAGGCAGAGGGATCCACCTCCTCCTCCTCCTCCCTGTAGAGCACTAGGTCGGGGCAGGCCACTGCGCGGAGCTAGGGAGCGGGTGGGGGTGGAGGTGGCAGAATTGGGGGTAGATGTGGCCTTTACCGGTTGCCGCAAGGCTAGTGGTGATGGGTGGCAGGAGTCCGTAGTTTACTGGGAGATGGAACTGGAGACGGGCAGAAAAGTCAGGTGTAAGTGGATTATGATGGACTGCTTTCATACACAGTATCTATATAATGAAGTAATGATCAAAACCACGATGGTGTGAGGTTAATTTAAATATGATGCCGGTATAAAAAATCTGAGACAGTATGCAAGCTTTTACTAACAACATCCATTCCAAATTCACAAACTTCTACATAAGTTCAAAAACATAAATAAATGAACAGAAAGGTTAACTAGCACAGCTGCCGGCTATGATTTTTGATGCATTGACAGAATGAGATGATACAAACACACAGAGCAAACTCTACTAGTAAAAACCAACAACACAACATCGATGCGGCCACGGCGTGGAAACCACAATCACGATATTTAAAAAGGTGGAGGCTCTCAGTGAATACTCACTGAAATCACCTTCTTCTCCAAAGCAACAGGAGAGTGGGACTAGACAAAGACGAAGACAACAGAGACAGGCCTTATTTCAGAGCAGGGAGGGAGGAACGTGCTGACCATGCAGTGTAATGTGGCGTTTTGCTCAAAATGGGCCTTTAGGGCTGACGCCACACATGATAAAGGCAATGAGTCTGTCATCTTATTTGACAGAAATCTATTCAGTTTCCTCTAATTTTTAATTATCTATAAAGAAAATCCTTTGACTAAATAAAACCCACCTAAATATACAGTAAGAAAAATTATTTAAATTTCAACACCTGAGTAGGAGAGGATTTTCTGCTGGGATAACTAAAAACCTCTTCGGGGCCACCTTTAACGATGTTATGTATTGTTAATGACAACCAAAATTGTTTGTTTTAATTGCTTCCTTAGTAATTGCCCTTCTTATTCCTGCTATTTAGTGAAAGCTGCTGGCATCTCTGGGAGGAAGTGCACAACAAAGCGAGATTAATGGGTTAGTGAGCTCTGTCATGAAGTTGACTCTCTGTGTACCTGGCTAGGTCACCATATCTTAGGCTAGGCACATAACCTGGTCTGGAGTAGGTTTGTGGTTCAGATCTTCTCTTTAAAAATCATCAGGATGGATTTTCATTGATTTTTTTCACTTAAAAGTACAATACAGATTCTCTAGACTTATATTTCATACAGGCAAGTTGATAGGCTTACTAATATCACAAAAGGAAGCTGTGCAGTAAAGTTACAGCTCGACAAACTGTGTACTGCATGCATTCAGTTGGTCATGGAGAAAATGTAATATGTATTTATGCTTGGTCCCAATCTGCTGCCAAATCATTTTGTACACTGCTGAGGTTGTAGCTAACGGAGAACACATTAGAAAACTCATCGGCCTGTTTGTTGGCAATTTATCACTGAGAATAGTCAATCAATAACATTTATTTCACTTTGACCTGCCCACAATCTACGGGGATTTATGAGGCTACAGGACAGCGCTATGCCCAGACATGCAGAGTAATAATGTGTATCATGTTAAAGTTTCAGGGCTCTAACGTGCAGCACTCATGGCAACATTTAGCAGTAAAATAGATATGTATTGACTTATGTATTCACAAGATTTCACAGGATTTTCAGGAACGTTGTTTCTTTTCTTATTATATTTTGGGGTTTTTAGATTTTATAGATCTGCATCCAAGAGTGAAAAGATGCTTCGATCCCTTTTATGCTGAGCCTGAAGCAGAACGCCTGGATTATAAAAACCTCCATCGTGATACCCGCCACCTCTGACTGAGATTTTACGTTGTGTCGAGCCAGCTATCGCAAAGAAAGCCTGGCTATGTTGGACTTGCATCGTAGGAAAGCCATCAGGTGTCTTGTATGTGTGGCATCAAACAGGTAAAGAGCAAGAGAGAAGAAAAACTAAACAGTGAATGAAACAGTACACGCTCTCCAGCCTTTGGATTTTTGCCAGTGTCACCTGTGCGTCCATTTATACAAAACAAGTATTTTGAACATCAGGGGCAACTTTCTAACAGCTATCAAGATGACAAATATTATAAATGCACAACGTTATTTACAACTATTTTTATTATGATCTAACTGTCGAATCATAAAAAAACATAACTGAAGTCTAATTAACTATCAGTTTACTATTTATTAGCAATGGCTATTCTAAGGTGTTACCTACCTGAGACAACACTGACCCTGTCATGCATGATTCTTTACAGAAAGAAAGTATTACCACAACCAAAAGAAAATACACATTCACACATTTCTTACAAGGTTGCAAGATCATCCTCATCTCTGACAACAAACGTACTCCATGGTTACCTCGTATTAAACATCTTGCAAGAAAGCAACAAAAATAAAAGGCTTAAATTCAGCGTGTGCTCAGCGTTGCTTTACATTCTCAGCCCTTCAAATGACGAGCTGGCAACTTCCCTCACTTTCATTTCCGCTCCATAAACATAACAACCCATCATTACAACTCATCAGTCATCTGTACCTTCAGCTGACTTTATGTTTGTCACAAATTGTGCATTTGTCTGTGTGAGAGAGCAGTCTCACAGCCTTTAGCTGTTACCTCGTAGGGCAGTGGGCTTTGGAGCTGCTGTTTGGGTTTCAGTGAGGTGCGAGAAGGGGTCAAGTATTTCGGGAGCTGAGGTGCTGCTGGGAAAACAGAAACATGTCAGCACTAGACTTCAATCTGTCACAGAATTCATGGAGAAAGAGGGGCTATTTTGGCACTGGAGGCCATTGAGCCTGAGGTGCAGGTTGAGGACACTAGAGGGCTCTCAAGCACACACGCTGAGATAGTGAAGAGGAGCACGACTATCAGAGCAAAGTGCCCTCTGCCTTTGACAGGTTTAACAACCAATCCCAGCACAGACAGAGAAAAGGAGTGTATGGTTTACACATGCTTTACAGGGAAGAGAAGCCAGTGATAGAGGCAGCAGAGGTGCCCATGTCCAGTACAGCCAAAGCTCAGAAAAACACAAACCAGTCACCACAGATAAATGTATAAAGACTGAGGTAAAAATGAATTGCTGCTCTGTATGTATGCATAGGGAGCACACAAATACACCATCCTTCCACACTAGGAGCTGGTTAAGGCAAGAAAGAGGCAGCTACCACATGATTAACCGCTGAAACTTCCTCTTTGACCCCTCCATCTGCCTCTAGTAACAGAGGAGAGATTACAGCTTCTGGATTAAGGACTAAATCATTACCTTTATCTCCCATTACAGGATTATATCAAATGGATAGTCTTAACTCGCAGAGGAGGATTTCTAAGCTCTTAAAAGAGACCATAAAACCATTGGACATGAAATGTAAAACAATGTTTGTGTCACAGATCCCCCGAGTCGCTCTGGATTGTCAGTGTTTCTGGCATCATGCTTTTATTCTGCAGGATGAGTGCTTTTCTTTGAAGTGAAAGTTATGCCAAGACAATAAGAGGAAGGATGTGTGTGTGTGTGTTGTGTGTTTGTGTGTGTTAAACATATTACAAGGAAAAAAGATCAAAGACAAAAGAGGATCCCCAAACACCAAAGCCATGTCACTACAAAGCAGTGCAGTCGCTGCGCTTGGAGAGCAAAACAAATATCGATCTAACAAAAAGTTACTTCAGTAATGAATCTGACAGTCTAAAGCTTCAAGTTAATAATATTTCGCATTCAAACTAAAAGGCTTAAAAAGTGATGCTCTCCGTGGCTGTTACAGTACTCACTGGCAGATTGGCTCTGGTGTCGGGGGGAGCCGCCGTTTGGCACTTGCAGGTTGGACTCACAGCTGCGACTGTTCTTCACGGGCTCTGGAGCCTGAACTGCCGCGGCCACCGAGGTGCGTGTAAGATTAGGAAGACTTCGGCGCAGTTTTTCTACAACAGTGGCACAGGCCAGAATCAAAGTCAGCGTCAACTCAAATCACTGTTTCGCACAGATAAACTTTTACTCGCCGGTGTACTCCTACATGTATTAGTTTAAGCATATTTGGTAACATACTTATCCATGTGATTACCGTAATTGTCGGGCTATAAGCCGCTACTTTTTGCACAAGCTTTGAACCCTGCGGCTTTTAGTCAGGTGCGGCTTTTCTATGGATTGTCCATGATTTTTGTCATATCGTAAGACGATTTGTTTTGTTTGTTCCACTGTTGTACGGCACTACGTTGCCTGGCGGAAGGATCAGGGTTCAAGAGTGGTATGTTAGTCACATGTCCGTCTGCCAGGCAACGTAGTGCCGTACGAAGTAGCGCGAAAAACAAACTTCAAGGTAGCCCTACGCATTCAGCGGGAGGCGTGGATGACGAGCGGCGATAAACTTGCGAAAAGCAAGTTATGCCCAACTCCACCGGTGGATTCTGACAGCGTGGAAAAGTGCGAAAACATCCACGATCACCAACGGATTTTGAAGGGCTGGACTGCTGCATGATGGAGAGGAGGACACCGCCACGGCCCTTCTGAGGGTGTTCGACTCTGACACTGACAACGAGGATTTCTTTGGTTTTGAAAGTGACAACGAAGGAGAGAAGCGGAGAGTGGATGACGAAGCCATCCTGAGCCTGTTCGTTTCCGACATTGGAGAAGAGGACTTTGGTGGTTTTAGAGCGCAGGAAGAAGAGAAAGATGGTGAATGACTGACTTTTCTTCTTGTTAAAGCCGTGTCACTGCACCTGAGCCTAAAAGGTAGTCCGAATCTATTTTCTGGTGTGCTGTAGGTTACTGTTATGTACTACATGTGCAAATATGTACCCATAACTTGTTTTTCAAAATATTAATAATAAAAGGGGTGTGTCTCCAAACAGCCATCTCTTTCCTGACAATTCCCTTTGTGCATATTCTCTTACATATGATAAGTCAACATTGAAACACCTGCGGCTTTTAGTCAGGTGCGGCTAATGTATGTACAAAACAGGATTTACCCTGATTTTAGCTTGTGCGGCTAATATTCAGGTGCGCTTTGTAGTCCGGGAAATACGGTAAGTTATGGACAATCACCCTTACCCTTTCTGTCTCTTGTTATTTTTTCCCATAGACTGCATATAAAATAATGGATGCTGGTATTTTGGTGTGTTGAAACCAGGGGTAACGAGTAAAACATGGATCCCAAATGCCAAACTCATTGATATGCTCACTGGCTAACGACTGTTACAGACAAGTAGCTAGTGAAAACCCTTGAAACTAGCTACTGAGACAATAGTATTTAATTTTTACAGCGCAAGTAGGCTGCGGGTCAGCTAAAAGGAACCCATGTTTTGGGCACTTCTGAGTTTGCCTCATTTTTTTTTAGCTACATTTAGGTCTGAAAAGTCAGTCTTTATTTGGCTGGCTTGTTGGCCAAGTCGCTGCAGTGGCGGTCTTTGATAAACAGCTGTTTGAATTTTTTGTCCAGTGTCCACTGACTGGTGCCTCTGGTGACAGCAGTCGTTCTAAACCTCCATCTCACTGAGATCACAAAGTAAGGACAACCATCCCCAGCTTCCTTGCTGCTCTCTGACTTTAAAATCCATCTGATTATACATCTGATAATAAACACATTACTTGTGATGAAAATAAGACCTAATGTGTGAAACACTGGAGTAACTGAAACATGCAACTTGTTCATGTCCACTGCTTACCTTCATTTTTCACCACATTAGTCTGAAGGTCATGCCCGTGGCTCTGCAGCGAGTGACGAGGCTGCTGCAGGCGGCTGATGATGGGCTGAGGAGAACCCCGGCTGTGGCTATAGTCGATGGAACGAGCAGGTGAGCGCGAGCGGGGAGAGTTTCTCGGGATGCACGGGGAGAGTGGCGAGGGGAGGGGCTGAAACGGTTGGAGGGCAGGTGAAAGGCCGGGTGCACCGCCTCCTCGTCGTCCTCCAGACTATGAGCATCTAGCTCCTGGTCACTGAAGGTGCTGCGCCGCAGGGAGTGGCAGGATGAACCCGAGCTCCGTCTGGATGCTGTTGCAGCATATTCCTGTCTCAAGCCTGTTGGCAAAAAAGGTGTGGTGCAAAAAAAAATGTAATTGCAAAAAATTGAAGAATAAAGCTGTGGATGACGGATACATACTCTCTTCCTGCATGCGTGCCAATATCTGGACATCAGTGACATCATTGAGTTTATAGGTCGTTGAGGATCCCACTGAGTCCTCATCCATTTCTGACGTGCTCAGCTCGCTGTCCACCGATGACTGCGGACTAACTGCAGGAGGATTCCTCTCTGCTGCAGAGTTTCTCTGATGAACTGGTGCAGAAATCATATGTGAATGTTTTAGAGATAAACTAAACAGATATCCTGAAACAGACAGTGAACTATAGAGAGACCCATACTTGCGTTACTGGGCATTAGTTGCTGTCGCACGATGGGCACTCTGCTTGGGGTTGAGGAGGGGGAGTTGAAGCCACTGCTGTAAGGGCTGTTGGCTGCATTTGTGCTATAAGGACTTCCATAACTCTGCTGGTTGTACGGACTTCCATACAAGCTCCGGCGCTTGTTGGCTGTAGAGGCAAAAAGCAGAACTACAATGTCAGACAGCATCACATGAGAGACTCAGAAAGACTTGTCAATAAAGTTTTCATGTTGCAAAATCCATGCTGTCTACATGTGGTGGAGTTGTTAAGCAGTTTCACGTCCTCTCATTCACTAATCTATTAAACTTTCAAGCGGGAAAGTAGAGGTGTTAAATCAAAATACAGAATTATATCATATAATACATTTACTTGCAATTAATTATTTTTTCATCAGTTCCTTTATTTTCATTTTGACATTTTATTATATTATCTATACAAGTCAGCAAATAAATGTTTTAGATACCTTGCACAAGCAGATTTAGAACCTGGCAAATATTACCCACTAAACTATTTAGTTTTGTTGTTTTTATTGTTTTAAAAGTTGACCACTAAGAAAATGTGACAGAGAAATACAGCAAACGCACCAAACTAATAGACTTTCACTATATTAGGTACTTGTATATTTGTCCTGGACAACTAATAGTATTAATATGTGTGTCCTGAGCAATTTCATCACTCTATTGAGGTGATATGATTTCTTATTTTTAACATATTTTACCACTATTTCTTCTGGTAAGTATACTACATTAATAGGTGAAAAAGAAAGACTGTTCTCAATGAATAATCCATAATATTCTCTTAACTGGGACCAGTTAGTCAAGTCAAGTTGGCTTTATTGTCACTTCAACCATATACAGTTAGTACACAGTGAAGCGAAACAACGTTCCTCCAGGACCAAGGTGCTACATGCAACATAAATTTACAACATAAATTAACAGAAAACACTAAACTAGCTAACTAAGAGGCCTAGTTAGCTGGCTAGCAGAGACAAGACAGACTGACCTAACATAAATTACAACATAAATTAACAAAAACTAACTAACTATCTAAGGAAGACTTTTTTTTTTTTGTTAACAGACAGCAGACAACAAAGTGCATGTGCAAATGTGCAAACAAGAGCAACAAAGTGACAGTGTGACAAAAAAAACACAACGTAAGATAATAATAAGGTTTTGTGATGATGAGTTGAGGTAGTGGAGGAACAGTAAACATTCCTTAGTGTAGCAGCAAAAATTAGGAAGTAAAGAAGTTAGTGCAAAAAGTCCAGTGTTTGTGTTGATTAGTCAGTCCAGTCTCAATGTTTTGAGGTAGTTGAGTCAGCCTGTTCTTCAGTAATGGTTCTGTCATTCAAAGGATATCATAAAATCTGCACTTCATCCTACAATACCTGTCAACCAAACACGGTCATGGCCAACATCAGCCTTGTTGACTGCTTTTGAACCTTTCAACAAATGAGGAGGCGACCACCAGGTCAGTGGCAAATTCCTTTCTGTTGTGCAATATAAAGTTTGTGTTGGCTGAATGTTCAAAGATGAAGAATTGCTGAAAGACTATAATAAAAAATATTTGTTTTTTTATGCTAAAGAGAGAATAAAAAACAACAAAACAAAAAATATTCATCACCATCGATCACATAAACATCCCCGCATACCTGCTGAAGGGGGATTTTTGTTTCCTCAACTTCATAAATTACCTGCGTATAAAAACAAACTTGCAGCTATCAATCTTATAGTTTCTACCAAGAATCACAACTTTTAGAGAAATGAAAGTTTAGAGAAAGTCTAAAATCCAACTCATAGAAATTTGGGATCAAAACTTGTCGTTCATTGTTTAATCTGCTCATTCACCATCTATACGCTGTAACCCCTTAAAAGCCGTGACGAAGCTTGTTGGCCTTCTGAGCATTTGACTATGGCTACGTTCACACTGCAGGCGAAAGCGCATCAAATCCGATTTTTTTGACCCTATGCGACCCATATCTGATCATGCTATGACAGTGTGAACGGCGCAAATCCGATATTTTCAAATCCGATCTGGGTCACTTTCGTATGTGGTACTGAATCCGATACATATCCGATGTTTTAGAAAGCGACTGCTGTTTGAACGGTCAAGTTGCATTAAATCCGTCTTTTACGTCACCGACACAAGACTGAAGCCAATTATCAGCGCCGGAGAAGCACCCGATACGACATCGCGAACGCTTCCTGGCCATCCAGCATAGATGTCAGTGAAACTGTTGGGAAGACAACGTAAACATTTTATTTGTACTGTTTAATCTGCAGATTCTGACAGAAATCTGCAGCTATCCTTTGAAGCACCGCTCCTCTCTTAAACAGCAATAAGGATCATTACTAGGTTATTTACATTATTATGTAAATAACAAAACAACTTAAAGCAAAAATTGGGAAACGTGAAGTCCGAAGTCTTTATATTAAGGGCCATCAGTCAAACAATACTGTTGCTCTGGGTCTAAACAGAGCGCGTTGTGTGTGACATCTTCTTTTGCGCATGCGGGCCGCTTTGAGCGTTCACACTAGAGCACGTTTGCTGTCGCATTTTATTTGTAGTGTGAACGAGCAGTAAAAAAAATCGGATTTGATCAAAAAATCGGAATTGAGCATTAAGACCTGCAGTGTGAACGTAGCCTTAGAACATCAGGAGTGTCTGCTCGGAGCCAGCACATCTATGCCTGCACATTGCAGAGCTTTTCAATCTGATTGAGTCTCTTATAATGTATGCTGAGTGTGGGCCTGATGGAGACTTCCTACATCATTAGCTGGGACAAACGCTTAACAATGCAAACCATTCAGTCCATATACGCACAGAGCACAATACAATTCTCTGTTAAACTCAGCAAAGCAGCGGTCACAGGCTACAGTCCAAAGTCGCTGGTCTGAATTATGATATCAGACTCTGGACACTCTGTCACAGTGATACTCTGATTGGTTTAGATGGTTAACATCTCTCGAGTTTGTTAATTTACCCATCATCACTCTGTTTTAATCTCTCTTACTGGATGTGTTTACATTGCTCGGTGGTGAGGCAGCCTTTTAAGCCTTGCTCTTTCCACATCGCTCCTTTCACTTTCTCCTGTTCCACCTCGTGCTCTGCACTCTGTCCTCCTGCATTATTTAGAAAACGCCATCATGTCTCCTCTGCTGCAATCCACATGGATCAGATCCTGTGGAATGCCAACAACGTTGGAACGTGTTTAGTCAGAAATGCTGCACTCACTTAACCAAAAGACTCTTTGTTTTCCAGAAAAGAACAATGAGGTCAACAGATTTAAAGAGTTCACCTGGTGAAGTGGTAAATGAAAGAGTAAATACTAAGCTGCATGTTCTGTAAAGCTCCACTGTGTTTACATCACAAGAAAGTTGATATAACAGCATATTTCTGTGACTGCATACAGTAAAATCATAAACAGTGGTCACTGGATCCAGAACAGTGCTGCAAGTGTTTGTTTTGGATTTTTTAAAATATATATTTTTAAAATATATATAACATTGTTTTGAGCTCAAATTCAGTTTCCAGAATGGTTCTGCTCCTATATCTAACTTTGATTTTGTTTTGGCCTGGCCTGTATTTATATAGCGCTTTACTTAGTCCCTAATGACCCCAAAGCGCTTTACATATCCAGTCATTCACCCATTCACACACACATTCACACACTGGTGATGGCAAGCTACATTGTAGCCACAGCCACCCTGGGGCGCACTGACAGAGGCGAGGCTGCCGAACACTGGCGCCACCGGGCCCTCTGACCACCACCAGTAGGCAACGGGTGAAGTGTCTTGCCCAAGGACACAATGACCGAGATTGTCCAAGCGGGGCTCGAACCGGCAACCTTCCAATTACAAGGCGAACTCCCAACTCTTGAGCCACAATCGCCCCAGTATTTTGAAAATACTTTAGTATTACTTTTAGTATTTTTTTAGACTTTAAATATGGATACATATTTGAAAAAGACAAAATTCAAGAGGTTCACTATACCACACTTGATATTGATATACCTTTATTAGTCCCACAAGGGGAAATTTATTTGACCACGAGTGTGACATCGTATCTCAGATGAGGTCTCGTTCTGTCCTTCACAGAGCTTCAGATCTCACTGTTTTAGAAGCTGAATGTTTAGCCTATAAACTGTCTTTTATTTTGAAAATAAAAGACTAAATTTTCTGTACCAATCCTGTATCCGACTTCCTGTGCTCCTCTTCTGCGCTGTGCAACTTGATGTGGCTTCCGTTAAAAATAGACCAGGCTACATTTCGAGCTTTTGAAATGCACTGTGGGTCATTTGGCAGAACTGCAAACACTGTCCTGAGTGGGTGCAAATAGTTCTGATGGCTATGTTGGAGCTGGTGTATTTTCAAGGTAACGGTTACACAGACATCCCAATTTCAGTAAACATCAAAGCCTCCTCAAACTGTTTCTGCTGGCAAATTTGATTAAATTTAAGAATTAAAACTAAGTACACCATATAGTTCTAATTACTTTCTGTGTAATTTTTATTTTTATTAATGTTTTTTCATATCGACTTTTAGTTTCTGTAAGTATCATAACTTGATTTTAGAAGGATATCAGGATCCACAGTCTGTTATTTTACAATATGCTCATATCTCATAATGGGAAAGAAGTCATTCTTTCAATATCACTTCTAAGTCAGGCTAAGCCCCACACCTGGTAAACTTTTCATTTAAATTGATCATCAACTTTTAAAAATAATTCTGCCTGTTTGTGTACAACACAGCAGAAGAGCTTGGCATACTTTAGTCTGTATTGGGTCTAAGCTAAAATCACAATGGTGCTACAGCTCAAAGGGCCAATTCAGGTTTCAGAGGATTTAGATGTGGTTAGGTGACCTGGCCTATCACAGCAACCCTAGCAACACACTTTCAGTAGAATGAGACCAATCTGATGGGATCAGTAGCACAGGGACCAATAAAAATAGAGTGTCCTTGACACCCTCGTGTACTGAAACAAGTCAGTAGAAAGAAAAGGAAATGTTCTTTCTGCCCACTGTGACTGATGTCATTTCCATTTACTGTGATATGAAATTGTGCTGCGCCAGTCTGTGGAAACTTCAGGCCAGTTTCCACAGGCAAAAATAAAACTAAATGAGGCGGCACACAACAGACTGCTTAAGGCCTTAAAGGGGGAGGGAAAGA